TAGGTATGAGAAAAAGATGTAAAAGAGTTATAGAGTTTTGTGGGATAGACATCCCATAGAAATATTAGAGTCTACGTTTTATGGGTATGTATATTTGTTTGTGAGTAAATTAAAGGAGACTGAGATGGTCCACATAAGTATAATGTATGGGAGCATATGGATATGTGTTTGGTTATATTGAAAATGTGCACAAAGATTTGGGTTTGTGTTTGTTTGGATTGAGAATACTCAATAAGACTAGAGAAGATTGAGAGTGTCTTATGAGTATTAATTGTTGAGTGAAGTTGATGATTTGATATTTGTTTGTAATTCTCTACAACTAGTGGATCTTATTTTTTATCGGTGGATATAGGTCAATTAGACCGAACCACGTTAAATTATTATCTCTTGTGTATTTGATTTATTATTTGATTTCGCTTTTATTGGTGTGATTGGATTGGAAACTTTTAGCCCAATAAATGATATCAAAACTGTGGTGTTTTCCAATAATATTTGCTTTCGAGCAAAACATATAAAAGATTTATATATTTTTTAATTTCAATGATTAGGATTCAAATCGTAACAATCTCAAATATTAAAAAGAATAACAATAAAGATTACTGCTTTTGGGAATATATCCAGTTATCTCCATCACTATTTCGTTGTTGTGATTAATAGTAGCAACCCTTTTTGCCTTCTCATTAACAAATGATCTACTACCAAGAGGCTGTTAGCTCAGTAATACTAAAGTCGGTAACCCGGTCCAACCATAACTTAAAAGACCAGAAAATATATATTACTTAGAAAAAACACTATTCATCTGATCTGGACTGCACAAGGATAATGATTCATTCACGAACTTCTCTGTTGTCCATTGCAGTTCTAAAACAAATGGCGTTACAATTCAATTAATAAGTAGTAAATGAGAGACTGGAAACGTCGAAGGCAGGTCATTTAAGAGATTCTTTTAGTTGCTTCTAAATAAGTAGAAACTAGTCTTTCTTGTCAGGCAGCTTTAATCAGTCTAGCAAAATGTTCAGGTTTTTCTCACTGTTATTAATCCCCATTCTCCATTGAAAAATGCAGCAGAATAAGAGATCCAAAGAATGGAACGCAAGGATGTAAGAGAGCTATAAAATATGATCACATATTTTTACTAAAAATATGATTAAATTTATCATTACATATTTTTCTTTCTTAACACAGTTTTAACTAAAAATATTTCATTGCCAGTTAAGTATCTATGAATCTCATAAACACTTCATTTTCCATTGGAGGTATAAAAGATATCTATTCCTAGAACTTTGGTAACGAAATTCATTTCACATGATTCCTTTTCCCACATTTCATTTTATCTGCAAACATCTGCCAGAAGCAGTAGCAGATAAAATGATTTAAAAGCTTGAGGAATGTTGAAATGTTGTTGAAGAACATAAAGAATATACCATGGAACTTGAAACAACTTAAAACAAATACTTTAAACTATTAAGTAAATGGATAACATATCACCTACAATCATAAATTCATTATATCATAATTATTTAGTTTTAATTTAAAATTATGTAAGATTCGTCAAAATTTTATAAAAAATTTATATTTATAAGTAATGAATTTTAATATAATTCTTTATTATAATTAAATAATTATTAAAATATACCTATCATAAAAAAAGTTATAAATGAAATACCCCTGAAACATTAGATTAGACCATGAAACTTGAATAATGAACATGTAGGGTGGCCCTGATAATCAAAAAGGCAACCAGACTAAGATAAGAAACCTGTAAAACTCAACTACTCATCTGAAACAAACTAGACCAAAAGTAAAAATTAGAGGCCCAAAATGTAGCAATGTAAACAATGGAGATGCGGGGTATCGATCCCCGTACCTCTCGCATGCTAAGCGAGCGCTCTACCATCTGAGCTACATCCCCTGAATGATAGTTGATTTTCAAAAAAATATAAAT